CGGAGTTGGTTCGGGCACCAAAAACCGAACGCCGAACGCCGAACGCCGTCTTAGGTGGTTTCGGTTCCGAACAAGGACCAGGGATTTTAACAATAAAAAAATCATCAAAAATATTTGTTTTGATGCACAAAAAAATATTTTATGATTTGTAAAAATTGTTTTGACTCGTTGAGAACCGAGACTTGAATTTATTGTCGGTTCTGATCACAAAAGACCGACTCAACTAAGTCTTCAATTCTTGATCTTGTCCTTGAGTCTTTTTGGTCTTGTTCCAAGCCATTCTTCATGCCTTGAGTTAATCAAAGAAACTCTTCATATCCACGGCGGTTTGGAAATTATCAAAACCTGTCAGAAATGAAGACGACTTTAGTTTATCGTACAAAGTGTGTTCCAACAGAAAATGCCAAGCTCAAGGCAGATGGCTCTGCGGAACTGACGGTTGAAAGGTCCAGGGTCAAGTCCTTGCAAGAGCATATTTCTACCTACCAAAGGGGGACCCAGGATCTGGAGACGCAATTCGACAAACTCCGGGCACAAATCTCCAGCCTGGAGTCAAAGGCCTCAGCTTCAGAAGACAAGGTGGGGAGTTTATGTAACGCCCCAAAACATAGTCTAAAAGTTATTCTATTATAAAAGTGTTTTTAGAAACAATATTTTGACTCAACAAAACATTATTTCTATGTTTGACCAAAAATGAAAGAATTTTTGGAGTCAATGATTTTTGTTAAGATTGCCTTTTATGGATAAGTCTCGAAGAGACGAATCCAACAGTATATGTTATGAATAAATCTGATGTGTAGAGGTTTAGTTATGACATTTTAAATATGTACACTACTACAAAACAGGGCAAAGGCACCGGTTGTTTTAACCTTTAGCATCGGTTTTGTACCGAGCAAATACGAGTGATGCAAATTGGTCAAATTCAATTGCATCGCCTTTAGAAACACCCGACGCCTTTGCTATTTTATTAATTAAAAAAAGGGAGTATTAGCATCGGTTGGTTACAAATAACCGATGCCTTTGCTTTTTTTATAATTAAAAAAAATAGTATTAGCATTGGTTGTAGACAAACAACCGATGCCTTTGGTAAAAACCGAAATTTAAAATAGAGAATTAACATCGGTGGTTCAGCAAAAACCGATGCCTTTGAGCATTTAATTTTCAAATTTCTTTTAAAAACTCCGTAATTGCATCGGTGTGCCGGGAACAACCGATGCCTTTGCGATATTTATTTTTTAAAAAATATTTAGAAAACGGTATTTGCATCGGGTTTTCAAGAAAAACCGATGTCGTTGCTCAATATTATAAATTTTAAAAAATATTTTGAAATGTATTTGCATCGGTATTTACTAACCAACCGGTGCCTTTGATATAAGAGTGGACGTTTGCTGGCTAACACGATCCTTGAATTGTTAGTCGGAAGACTCTAGCAGTGTTATACGTCCAGCCTACATTACAGCAGCAGATAGCATCAGCCCAGAGCAGCGATGATTTCTGTATCCAGACCGTTGAGCTCGTCTCTCGAGGAGAGAAACTGGATTTCACAGTTCGTGAGGGTATCTTGTACTATTGGGAGCATATGGTTGTGCCAGCTGGGGAGGTGAGAGAACGCCTGCTTCGCGAAGCACACAACACTGTGTATACCATGCACCCGGGCAGTAACAAGATGTTTCAGGATCTTAGGAGACATTACTGGTGGCCCGCGATGAAACGGGAGATCACGGAGTTCACATCACGGTGCTTGACTTGTCAGCAGGTCAAGGCCGAGCACCAGGTTCCTTCGGGATTGCTTCAGCAGATCACCATTCCCGAGTGGAAGTGTGGGACTGCCATTGTCACCACGTAAGCACGACACAGTTTGGGTCATCATTGACCGGTTGACCAAATCAGCCCATTTTCTCCCCATTCGTCGTGACTTCTCACTTCAGCGTTTGGCGGAGTTGTACATCCGCGAGATCATCAGGCTACATGGAGTTCCATCATCTATCATTTCGGATCGTGACCCTCGATTTACATCACACTTTTGGAAGAGCCTACAGAGGGCATTGGGCTCCGATCTCCATTTCAGTACGGCGTTCCACCCTCAGACAGACGGTCAGTTGGAGAGGGTGATTCAGATTCTCGAGGATATGATGCGTGCGTGTGCAATTGACTTCGGGGACGGTTGGGAGCGATACCTGCCACTCATGGAGTTTGCATACAACAACAGTGACCAGGCTAGCATCGGTAGGGCACCATATGAGGCTCTGTACGGTAGACCCTGTCGTACCCCTACTTGTTGGACAGAGCTCAGTGAGAGGAGGCTGGAAGGGCCTGATCTTGTTTGTGAGACCGAGGAGAAGGTCCAGGTGATTAAAGATCGACTTAAGGCGGCTTCGGACCGACAGAAGTCCTACGCCGACCTTGAGAGGCGTGACATCGAGTATGCAGTCGGGGATAAGGTTTTCTTGAAGGTGTCCCCATGGAAGAGCGTCTTACGTTTCGGCAAGAAGGGAAAATTGAGTCCGAGGTTTATAGGCCCGTACCCAGTCACTAAACGGGTGGGACCTGTAGCTTACAAGCTCGAGTTACCATCGGAGTTGAGCAAGATCCACGATGTATTCCACGTGTCCATGCTCCGAAGGTACCGGCCGGACCCATCTCATGTGATTCCAGCCGATACGGTCACACTCGATGAGAATCTTACGTACAAGGAGGAGCCGGTTGAGATTCTGGCTCGGGAGATCCGCCAGTTGAGGAACAAGACCATTCTGCCAGTCAAGGTTTTGTGGATAAGTCACACCATTGAGGAGGCGACATGGGAAACCGAGGAATCCATACGTATCTGTTATCCTCATCTCTTCAGTGATCAGTGATCAGGTAAGTTTCGAGGACGAAATTTTCTTAAGGGGTGGATAATTGTAACACCCTGCAACCCGGTCTAAAAGAATTGATTAATTTAATTAATTAATTACTGTTCCGGGCCGGAGTTGGGGAAAATAAAAAGTTCTTAGAAAAATTATTTGATCATATCATTAAATTCGTTTTGACTGTCTAATTCGAGAAACACAAACGGATCTCAATTCAGACCCGTTCGGGGGGGAAAGTGTGGACCGTTCAGGTCAGATTTTACATAACAGAGTAAAATAAATAATTGTAACTCCACCCAATTCACACTCCACCTCACATTCACACAACTCCATCATTTCTCATTTAATCCCCATTATTTCCCATTCAATATAATCCACCCTTCCCTTCATTTTCCTTAGCACATTGTAACCCCCAACCCATAACTCCCTCACTCTCTCTTCCTCTCCCTTCCCTTATTTCGGCCACACAGCAGCTCACCAAGGGGAATTCCGGCAGTAGACGCGGAGGAAGAAGAGAAAGAAGTGCACGTGGAAAGGAGGCCGTTCATTTGTTCGTTGGTTTGTGGATAGCCATTCATTCGTCTCGTTCTATCGGACCATCAACCCCTTCATTTAGAGGTGAGTAGTTGTCCCCTCTAATTCTAGAACATTCAGTTATAATCTATGTCGTTATATTCATAGGAATAACGTACGCAACCTACGTAGAATCTATGCATGTTCGTAGGTTAGCCACTAAAATGTTCATTACGTAAAACCTATAAATATTGGCCTAGGAATCACTAGGAATATATTCATAAATGTTTTGTTATTGTTCTAAAAAGAATCTAGGTGTTAAATTAGCAAAATGGACCAAAACGGAGCTAGGGACAGCGGACTGTCTCCGGGACGGTCGACCGCTGCTACGGACGGTGGACCGTTCCCATGGCCAACCCGACGGTCACCACCGTGACGGTCGACCGCCAGCCGCGGCGGAAGACCACGGTGGACCGTCAGCCATCCAGACCACCATAGTGTAGCCCACGGTCGACCGCCGATAGGGTACAGTCGACCGTTCCGCGGGCAGATTTCCGGGCAGTTATAGAACGAGCCTAGTTGACCACGTTGACCCAGAATCTAATCGTTTGTTGCATGAAATGTTAATCTTCATTATAAAAGTTATTTAATTGATGTATTCTTGGCGTTGACCAAAGGTAAATATATCAAGCATTCATCATGTTCATTCTAGACGCATGTCCTAGGTTTTCATCATGTGCATACCGCTGTAGGGAGGACTTCGTGCGCCTACTACAGTGGGCCCGTCCAGGAACCTATGGGGACCAACAGGTTTTCATCATGTTGGGCTTGTGTACGTACATAGTAGTCAGGTTACGGCTACTACTGGTTTTGCTAGTCCACTCGCGACATCTTCGTCGTGCCCGGCTCGTTACCGTTCGGGTACGATGACTGGAGTGCAGGGGTGATCCTGTCGAGTGAGACTAAGCCAGGGGTGTCCCTGATGGTTTGAGTCATGCATCAAGTCATATCATCATCATGTATGTTCCAATCACCTTGTTATTTGTAATAGCTCTAACAGGTGAAAACTAAACAGTTAGTAACATGTGGTTTTCCGTACGTTAAGTACAGGTATTAATATGTATATAGCCATATGGGTTATCACTTAATTTTCTTTTGTTAGATTCACTCCTCAGCTTTTGCTGAGCGTCTAGTTGTTTTTGCTACACGCAGGTAGACCTGACGGTGCAGGTGCCAACCCTGGAGAGCAGTGACGATGGGGAGATGGGCGGAGCACGGACGAGCCCATATTTATTTCCATTTACTTGATTAATCATTTGGGCATGAACCCACCCTTGTCGTTATTTAATTTGGACTGGACTTATGTATTTACTTCCGCATTTACTCTGCACTTTTATTACACACGTTTTGGGAGTAACTCCCTGGCATTTATTTCACTAATTAAAACCCAACCGTTTTCACAATTAATTTATACTAATGTTTTACGTTACGGATGGTTCTTGGACTGCCCATGTAACCCTACCGGTCCATCGGGTCGTGGGTGAACCGGGTCCACGGAAGGCGGGTGTTACAGTACTTCTTAAAGTTTACTCATGCTTGTAATTCGTTGAAGGGAGTCGAACACCACCAGACACTTTCTCTTGAATTCAGCTCTTATTGCGACCCAATGATCAGATATGTTATGAACCTAATAAACACATGAAATATCCTTCTACGGTTTAGAGCATGTGTTCCATCTACCATGAACTATTTCCGTGAGGCCGGAGTCCAGGATTAGAAATAGATCAGTATTGGCATTGACCTCACTTAACATTTGGAAGCTCTCTGGGAGGACGGCATATGTGCTATCTTTCTTGTTATACATTTGCATGAAGTAGATCATGATTTCTTCCATATGCTGCAAATGAAATAAAAAGGCTAACATATTAAATATATAATACTAAGATATAAATATATAATACTAATATTAACTTATATTACCGAGGTCTCCAACTAGCCGCCAGCCTTGATCAAGGAACTCCACCACTTATTAACAATCCCATGGGACTCTCCCCTCTTTTCTATGATACACTGAACTTCTCTCCCATCAGCAATTGTCGACTGCATGAATTGATGGAAGGCCTCAAGTTGTTGGCTAGATGGGTTCCTTCGTTTGTTGAGTTGCACTTCTTCGGCTTTGTCCAGCTCATTTGAACCTGAATTATTTATCAACTTTACCTTTTTATGTACATTGGTGAAGTAGGGGCTCGATATATGAATACTTCGTTTCTTCTCCCGGAAGTAGGGGCTCGATATATGAATACTTCGTTTCTTCTCCCGGAGGCCTCGACCCAATTCCTGGATGTTAAAAGTAATATGTCAAAGAAAAGTAAGTTTAATTCAATAATACTCAAATTAACCCGTACCCGTGCAGCAGCGACTTCATCCACATCTGTCAGTTCTCTCAAGACGTCACCATCAGACTCAAGGTTCTACTCAGAATTTTTAAGGAATAAGCATTAAGCAGGATAACAAATGAAAATATCAGAATATAAGTTTATTACCTCATCAACATTGTTTTCAGTTGATTTGCAGAATTCAACAACATCATGGACAATTTTATCACTTGTTGCCATCTCATCTTCTATGGCCTCTCCCTCAAGTGTAAACTTTTCCTCCTCTTCTTCCTGACCATTGGAAACATAATGTTTTACAAAAGGTTCAAAACATAAGAACATACTTCGTCAACCATATATATCAGAGTAAAAAAGACGACGAATGGGTCGACCAATTACCTGGGTCGGTGGACTCCTATTCTTTACTTCTTCCTCTTCATTAAGGTTAAATTGGTCACCCTCTTCTTCTTCTTTTTCTTCAGGAATTCCTTCAAAATTGGAGGGGTCGACCATATTAACTAGCTCATCTTCTTCCTTCCCATCCTTTATTTCCTCCTCTTCATTATGGTCCACCCCTTCAAAACTAGAGGGGTCGACCATATCCACTACCACCGACTCTTCTTCTTCCTTCCCATCTTCTTCCTTCCCTTTGTCACTCCTTCTGTAACACCCCAAAAATAGGCCTATCAGAGTTAATTAATTTATAATTAATTAATTACTGAGAAGGACCCAAAAATAAGTAAATTCTAAAGTTTGTCAATAAATAATGAAAATCATATCATTATGTAGAGTTTGACTGTCTGACCCCAACGGTTCAATCAGATTTCAATTTGGAGAAAGTTGGACCAGAAAGTGTACCCCAATTGGGACCAGAAATTAGTCCCAATCAGGGACTACACTCCAATCGGCGCTCACTGTACAAACGGCGCACTATCCGATTTTGGTGACTCAGGAATATTTCATCCATGTCTTCTTCTCCTTCCTTCCTCTATTTAAGAAATCTTTATTCCCTCAATTCTTCACCAAATCATCCCAAAATTCTCTCTATTCTACTGCCTTGAGTGAGGAGAG